GTCCAGGCTATCAGTTTAGGTTCCTTATGTTACTAGAATGTTCGCACAGGTCAGGTAATAGATTCTCCGATCCTGCACTGCATACTTCCAGTTACTGCTCATCAACCGTTATGGGAATTAATTTTGTTGAATTTTAGTGCTAACGGATGAGCTCCGCGATCGTTTAGCATCGAACGAGCTCATTTCAACCGTCTTTGTTTTCAACGATACTACGTTCTCATCGTTATCCGCATCACTTCAAGCACGCATGCGACAGCGCAAAGGATGCGCAAAAGGTTTTTTGGGCTTTTTTTTTTAGTTTCCGAAGTCTCCTTTGCAACTGCTGAAAGTACCAGGACAGCCAGGATTACTAGAAAATCCCTTTGGTGAAACAAATTATGATCCGCAACGCATTTCTAGTTTTGACGCTTTCCTGAACAGGTTGCTGCTGAAAGATTTCTGCCTAAAATATTCAGTTTCTGGCTCATGAATAAACTTTGTTCATATCAGAATCCTCAGCATACTGACCCTTAGGCATTGATCAGCATAACTGAAAAAGTTGCCAGCTGTATGGATGGAGAACCACACTATGAATTGCAAATCACAGTAAGTTAAAGAAGTAAGTTGATAAATTAAGTAGGTAAGTTAAGTAATTCAAACCCACTCAAAATAAAGAATTTCTGAGCTTATTTAGATTTTTTTTTGCAGATCTGATCAAAGAGCACATCTACGACGGAATGCTCTGTTCAGCAATCCTGCAAGATGACGTGAAATCGATCACCGGTACAATTCACCGCTTTCAAAAACAGGTCTATTATTATATGAATAAAAAATATTCATTTTTCACACACATAGATTACATACATATTAGATAGTAATTATTAGCCACCAGTTTGCTGAAGGCAATGATGTACGAATGCAAAACGTGATCACTGGCGGAAATAGAGGAGCGAGTGCTGGCAGTGACGGTGAGAGCGATGGGGCGAAGGGTGCTTGACGAGTCTCTTCATAACCATATAAAAGCATAAACTCTTAAGCAGATTATCGCCATGCACGATGTTAGTGTGACAGCGGGAAATTGAATTCAATGGGCAAAGCTGACATCCACTGGACATCGCGCATTTAGT